CCCCCCCCCCCCCCCGAGAATGAAGCTGGCCCTGCCTCTTGCCAGGAGCACTGCACCTTTTGCGAACTTAGCTGTGCGGGGTGGGTGGGTGGTTGGGCTGACGGGCAGGCTCCGGACCGGGGCCTCAGCCAGCTGCGCTGCAGCCCAGGGGCTGGCTCCCCAGGGAAGCACAGAGGCTCTGGCAGGACCAGGGCATTGTTGGGTCAGACATTATCCAGTGGCCTAGGATCCTGGCTCCATGCGCCCGCACAGCTGGTTCTGTGCGTTTGTCTGCCTCTGTCTGGTTCTATGTGTCTGTGTGCGCACACGTCTGGTTCTGAATGTTTGTGTGCATGTGTCTGTTCTGGATGTGTTCTGGTTCTCTGTGCATGTGCCTGGTTCTCTCTCTGCTCTCCTTTTTCTTTCTCTTTCTCTTTCTGTCTCTCTCCTCTTTTTCTTATTTGTCTCTTTTTTTTTCTCTCTGTCATTGCAACATGCTCAACAAAAAAGGCAACATTTATGATTATTAAATATACTAATATGCAGTGTGTCCTGCCATGTACCACCCCCGCCCATTTTGTTTTTCTGCCATGTTGGCACTCTGGCACCTTCCAAAGTAGACATTGTGGTTTTTTCAGCACTCTGGCCAAAAAACGTTGCCTACCCCTGGTCTAGTCCCTTTGCACAGGGTGAATTGCACCTTTAGTTACCATTATTTTGAAGTGTAGGCCAGGGGTTCTCAATCCCCAGGCCACGGCCCAGTGCTGGGCCATGGCAGGTCGGCTGCTGGTCCTCAGCATGGTCAGCTGCCGGACCAGAAGCGGCCATGGACTGGCAAACCAGAGCCAGGCCAGAGCCAAACCAGAGAGGCCACGGCTGCTTCTGCAGGGCCCGCGGCAGCGCAGGGGCTGGCCCACCCCCTGCCCAAGGGTAAGGAGGAGAATATCCTTACTTGTCTTCTGCCCAGAAATTCCGGCTGTGTAGTCGGCTGTGACTGCTGGGTCATGGTTTGCTGGGCTGCAGCACAAAAACTTTGGGAACCCCTGGTATAGGCTATTATAATCCAATAATTGAAATTACAGAATCAAAATTGCCAAAGAAGATGGGATAGCTTCAGTCAGTAATTATGAAGTGAAAGAAAGCAACTCTACTGTTTATTTCTTCCAAGAGGAATATTTAAATGGCTTTATTCAGTTCTCATTGTGTGTGTGTGTGTGTGTGTGTGTGTGTGTGTGTGTGTGTGTGTGTGTGTACACACACACACACACACACACACACACACACACAGAGTTTTAATAATTTAAATGTGATGTTGAAAATACAGCCTTTATAGGGCTGTCAAGTTAATTGTGATCTGGTAATGTATCATTTTACTAAAAACTCTCCAGGTGTGTTTTAAAAGATCAGTGACGATTGTGGTGATGTTACATTAAAAATAAGAATACATCTCTTTAATGAATGCTCTCTTCTTTTTTATCTAAATAGAAAGCTGGAGGCTCCCAGGGCAATGGGGTTTGCAACTGTGTTCTTACTCTTGAGCACAGAATCTTAATGTAAATAACAAACAGTTAAGTCCAGTGTCAAATCATATCTACACCTTTGATGCTAGCAACACTTTGTCTTCATAACGGCTCAGATTTGGATACAAATAATATATAATGGCTTTTTAAGAGCTTTAGGGCCCCTCTGCATGCTACATTTAAGCCAGGATTCGCATGTTAATGGCAGCATGAATGGCAGGGGGGCTACACATGCACCCAATTTAATGCATCTTAAAATGGCAAACCAGCCATTAAAATGTTCCACGTATAATATAGCAGGGTTTTTTTTTCTTTTTTTAATAGCTGGTTTGTACAGTGCCTCAAGTTTAATTTGTGGCATATCTGGGGTTGCCCCAGGGCCAGTACTGACAGTCAGCAAATGGTTCCCACTGGTGCCCAGGGCAGCCCCAGTTCTCCAGCTGGGCCCAGGGCTGTTTTGAGCCTCCCAGCAAGGGAACCAAAGGGTTCCCCTGCTGAGGAATTTAATCCTCATGACCAAAGTCCCCTGGTGGGGATGGAGCTTTCCTTTCCAGGAGTCTCTCATGCCCTGCATCCAGCAGTCCCACTTTAGCTGACAGGCATGGGGTTTTAACTCCCTTGATGGGAAGCCCATGAATGGACCTGGCGTTGGCTCATTCCAGGATCTTGACCTGACCCTAGTACTTGCCCTGGGACAGGGACTGACAATCAACTGATTATTGGCCCTGGTCCTGATGAACAGGAGGGCTCTCCCTGTACTGGCAAGTAGGGTGCAGCTAGGACCTGATCCCAAAATCATGCCTCCCACTATGCCTGTGGCATGTTAGAAGACACGACTATTAGAAGTCAGATCACATGGTATTTTTAATTAATGTGAAGCAGCTAAGTATCATTCCCCAATTTTACAAATGCAGAAAGAGAATAAAGAAGAAAAGAGACTAAAAATTGGGGATCAAAAATGTGGTTTCTGTGCTATAACTTCTTTAGGTTATATTGCATTGGCAGTATTTAATCAGTGAAAGATCTTTAAAGTATAAATACCTTCTAGCATAGGTGATTGGTAGGGGGTGCACAGGGGTGCATGTGACCCCCCTGACAGGGCTGGCGCCCCCCCGACGGCTGACACTGACGCTGTCAGTAGGGCTAGTGCCCTCCCTGACAGGGCCGACAACGTCAGTGGCTTTTGCAGGTGCCCCCCAAGATTCAGGAGGCACCAGTCACTCATGCCTTCTAGGAAATGTGCAGATCAAATTGATTGGCACTTTTATGAGCCAATATACACTTGGATTCTTAAAGTGCCGCACTATAGGCTAGTCAGCATTTTTATCATGCTTTTGTAGCCATTTCTTCTTTTGCAGCCAGGATCTCTCTTCCCCATTCAGTGAATGACTTTGGGTTTCAAATGTGCCTAAGTAAGATGGTTTTGTCTGGAAAGGATTTCTGAACACATATACCACATGCCCTTTTAACATGGTAAGATCTCATTCATCATTTGTGACTGTTCTGCAAATCAGCTACATTTCTTTATCAAATACATGTGTGCCAAATTTGAGTGAGTTTTCATTCTTGTACATTTGGGAGAAGAGCCCAGCTGCTGCTGCTTTGGCTTCAGCCTTTGCCTAAGCAACTACAACAAGTTTTTCTTTCAAAGGCTACAAAAGGCAAATATGATCACTCTATGTCCATATCCTCCTTTACTAAAATCTCAGTTTAGCTCTAAACATTTTTTTAGCTCCATCTCTTTTTTTTTTTCCTTTACCACTGCTTTGAAATGACCATAACTTGGATCCTGCTACAAAATCAGCCAGCCCTTAAGGGCTGCCTCCCTTATTTCCAAAGGAAAGATTTTAAATGTCAGAGGAAAACAGCATTTAAAGAACAAATGTTATGCGTGCGTCTGCACAACTGTGAATATGTGTTCCATCTGTATGCTCACTATCTGCAAAACATCTGAAAAAGCATCAGGTAGCTGCTTTTTGGTACATAATGGAATTGAGCCAGAGCAATATTCTAATATAAAAAGACCCTTAGTCTGTCTGTTCATAACGCTTCAGGCCAACTGTGCATGCACCGCCAAGAAGACATGCACCAATTGACTGCAAGGGGCTGCTGCGCCCACCCCCACAACAACAGCTGGCAGGGAGGGGGAGGCAGCAGGGAAGAGAGGAAAATGGGGGGTGTTTCTGGAGGTAGTGCCTTCTCCCCAACCCCCCGCTACTGCTGCTGCCCAGCCCTGACAGCTGGCAGGGAGGGGGGGGCATGTTGCATGTTGCTGAGTGTCACCAGCTGCCACCACATGCAAGTTCCCCTCCCCACCCTGTTCCTGGGAGCTGGCGGTGGGGTGGGGTGGAGCGGCAGGGGGTAGGAGGGCACACAGGGCTGTACTGCGAGTGGCGGGTGGGGAGCTGGATGTGGGGGTTGGGGGAGGCGAACAGGGCCAGATGTGGAGCTGGGGGGGAACACGGGGGGGCTCACGGAGCCAGAGGTGGAGCGATGACACTGCAGGGCGCTGGGTGGCAGTGCTCCATCCCCGCCTGGCATTCATGATGGGCAGTTTGCTAGTGTAGTTATAAGACTGGAACAGGATGTGCCCTGTACTAATACAGCGACAGCTACATTACCTTTTTTTTTTTTCCATATCATGTGTGGAGTGGGAGTAAATGTATGGAGTATTTTTACTGTAGTGTTCCTTAGTACTATCCAGCATTGTGTACACAAGTCCTGTGGACACAAAGAGTGTTTTGTGCCTATAGAGCTTGCTAATGGAGAAGTGTCTGACTTTCAAGATCCATTCACATGATAAGTGCATGGATGCGTTTTTGTCACCTTTCTGGAGGCATATTAGCTTAACCAGTGAAAAGTTACACAATCCAGTTTATAGCCCTATGGCACTTCTCCCCACAGTTGTAATGGCTACAGTAGTTGGGGGGGGGGGTTGGTGCATGTATAACAAGTTTTTCCAGTGTGAATTTAGAAATGTAACCAAGACACTGTTCTTAGTTTTGGAAAAAAAAACAACCAAAGTGTAGTAGTAGACATATTTTCTTGCCAATACACAATCTACAAGCAGCCAGACAGTGACTTGAGCCTTATGTGATGCATAAGCAAAAAAAATTACAAGCACTCTAAGCTTACCTGTTACTTCTGGATCAGAGAGGTTTCCAGGATACATTTTGTGGGTTTGATAAAATCCCAAAGCATGATACAGCAATAACTTAGTTGCACCGAATTGTGTGTGTGTGTGTCTGTATGTGTGTATATGTGTGAGAGAGAGAGAGAGAAAAGATTTTCTGGTATACTCATTAGTGGTATACTCATTAGAACATTACCATTAAAATTCCAGGTATTATGTAGCTCCCTTTCTGTATCTGTTTAACTTTCATGTTCTAATTAAGCGGGTTTTTTATACTTGTCTGAGGCTCCAATCTTGGCACCTGAGAAGGGCAGTCTGAAAAGCACAAACTGAAAAGATTCTGAGAGTAAGATTATTTTAGGCATACAGCTTCCCAAAAACTTGTTTATGTCATTTATTCAATTTATTGTAAAACAACAAATTTGTTCCTTCTTCACTGCCAGGCTATTCTATATAGAAATCCTGTTTTAGCATCAGTCAAGGTTCTGCCTAATAGATGTTTAAGAGAAGTGGTCTGTAAACCAACAAGCAAAGACTTACAGCAGTTATGTCAGCAAGTGGTGTCAAAAGCGTACAGAAAAACTGGTAAGGCAATGTAGGTCATGGTACTTGGAGGAACTTTTCAAGCTACTATTATGAGAACCTTCCTATTTGATTAATATGACACTCCAGAGAGTTTAGAATCAAGTATAATCCTTCAAGGTTATGAGCCCATTGAAAGCAACAGCCATGAAACACAAGGGCGGGGGGGAAAATCCTGCTCTGAAACAAGCCAACGAACATTAGCCCAGTTTTATCATTATATAAGTAAAGAAAAGTAGAGGGCATCCAAATTTAGATATCACAGCAATCATTCCCAGGGCTTAGATAGAAGCACATCAGGATTTGCCATGACTCCCTTCTAGAGCAGACTCCATCTTTGCTACCCTCTTCTCCCTGCAGTGTTTGCAAGGGCTACCTTTTATAAGGCTGCCTACCCTAGCGTCACCTCTTAGTTACCTAAACCAGCCTCATACATAGCAAGCCCTGTCAATCCGTCACTTCAAAGAGGGAATGAGGGGTGGGGACAAACAAGCAAACAACACCCATGCACAGCAAGCTGTTAAAAAGGCAGGCAGAAGACACCCAGAGTCACCAGCACACTGAAAACCTCCTTGAGGCAGTCCCACGGTCAGCTCCTTTTCTCAGAGCGGCTCCCTTTCTAACCACAAAAAAAAAGTTTGTCCACAACAAAAGGAGTGCCCCCTGCTATGCCAACAGAGGCCACATTCTTGAGCTTATGTTCTTCTGCTTCCAAGCCTATTGCCAAGGGCTGGAGCCACCAAACACAGGCCAGCTCAGGCCCCCTCCCTTAGTAGGGCTCCAGTGGTCTCTGCCACTCCTAAATCTTAAAAAAAAATCAACCCTAGATTTGGGCCAGACCCAGCTGGGATCATCATAGATGCTCTCATACTCAGAATGAAGCACGGGCCAGATTCCAGGGATTGGGCTTACTGCACCAAGCCCTGCATCTTTACTCTCTGAAGCCTTGCCACTGATCAAGTAGGCTTGGTACCCCATCCAAGCTATACCTGGGTTAGGGGAAAAGAAACTCTTTGCACCCCAAGTGTAAAGCTGTCAACAAGTGAGGCAGGGCTGCAGGCAGCTTTAGATTTCCACCGTTCTATTCCTGGCCCAACACACTTCCCCAGAGCCACTGAGTAGGCAGGTGCTCAAACTGCCCTCTTTCTCAGACTCCTCATGTAGTATAGCCTGTGTGGTCATGGTGGCCAAAAATGAGATACCTCTTTATAATAATGCCTGCGACAGTAGAAAATGTATGAATAAACACATTTGCCCAAGTATGAATAATGTAGTACATGGTGGGAGCTAAAATAGTACTCTGATGCAAAGGTCATGTGTATGTACTCTTAAAACAAGCTTCCAAGCAGTGAATTGTGGCTTTGGAGGTGGTACATTAGATATGCTTGCAAAGCCTTATGCTAAGTTTGGGGACTCTCTTGTTTTAATGCAAAAATCCTCAGTCTCTTTGGTGACAGTTTTTGTGATGTGTGCTAGTGCATGAGATATCAATGAGGAGCTAAACAAGGATATAGTCCCAGGAAAGAGCCACCTTGGACTGATCTGGCTTGGATGGCATATGCCCTGTGTGGATTTGATTAGGTGAGAGAGAACCATCTGTTCTGGATGCCCGGGGCTGTCAGTGCATACAGAAAAATGAAATGACTCTCACTGGCATATGGTGGTTTAGAAAGATGGGGACATGGCATATTTAGTCCTGGTGATTTTGGGTTCACAAATCATGCATCTTCTAAGAGGAGTGATTCAAGCCCCTCTGTATATTTACACTTGTTATAAAAGTATTTTAGTCAAAATAAAATTCTTAAACATGTATGTTTACCATTCATAATGTAACTTTTTTTATCAGAAAAATGTTTACTGTGGGAAGCTGTCAGGTTGATGAGCCATCAGAGGAAAAACATTACAGAGCCAGCTCATTTAATTAGATGCTGAAGTACAGTTCTGTGGCAAAGGGTGAATTTTGCACTGAAGCCCCTGCCTGCAGAAATGCAGAGACCATCAGGCCCCAGTGCATTATTTATGCTCATATTTAATTTATCTGATGCTCTTACAGAATTTCTGGCCTATGGCAGCAAAATGCTGCAAAATCTAGGCCTGCATAGTTTAGGCTGCTCAATTCAGGGTAAGCTTGCTGTAAAATACATGAGGCTTTAAGTTTAAGATAAAGCACTAATCATTTAGCTTATTTTACACCTCCTATTACCTACTTTTTTTTTACTAGGTTACAGACATTTTTGCATGCCCATTTAATACCAGCATGGTGCCAGTTAAAATACGTTATCACAGGTACCAACCCGTCCTTTGGCTTGGTATCAGACTTCCGTGCAAATATGCTTATTACTTTAATGTTGTGATTTCAAAACTGGATAATATAGTGCAGAGGGGGCATTGTGCATCTCTCATCAGTTTGTAGGAAGGATGCCACACACAGGTCTTTCTGCTCCTGTAAGGGACAGGATGTTAGCTGGTACAGCAGTATTCCTCTCCACTAGACTCCATAGAGGGAACTTCATGGGTATCTTTTCCATAATTACCCTCCTTAAGAATCATATAGAGGTGGATTTGCTTTATTAAAGCTGATATGGCATCACAGCCTGCAAGACACTGTGGTAAACATCAAAAGCCAAGTCACAACCATGACTGTTCAAAAAGGTTATAAAAGCTGCTGTACTGTATTTGTTTGCTTTGGGGCTTTTTGGTAAGGAAGGTGGACCTGGCTGTATCTTCATGGTGAATTATCTTCAGGTTTCCATGCAAGAGGCAAGTATCTTTATGTGTGATATCTTTTATTGGAACACTGCATGATTAGTGTAAACTTAGACAGGCTTTTGAATACAGTGTATTCTTCTTCAAGGATCCTTGCCTCTCACATAGTTCCTGGACCAACATGGTTCTACCATCACTCTAGTACTACCACTTCATATTCTAGTTTCCTTCTCTTGAGGAGAAATTGCACAAAACGTTGCTAGAAATCTATTTTTGCCAGCTTCATAGACTTGGGGGGAAGTGAGGGAAGCGGCAAGAACTTTAAATTTTCAGAACTGGAAATTCTTTTAAGCTGGAGAAAATCACACAGAGATTTAGTGGGGAATGGGAAGGAGGGAAGATTTTTCTTAAAGTTCATCAAAATTCAAAATATCAAATTCTGAATTTTTGTGTTCAGCAAACTTTGACCTTTGTTTGCCAAGAAGAGGAAGAAGGGATTTAAAATTTCAACAGTATTTTTTCTTAGGATTATTTTTCATCAAAAATTTATTTTTTTATCAGTACTGCTATTCATAGTTTCACACATCACGTAATACAGCCTCTCAAACATTTAAGAATGGGTTTTGCACTCCCTAGAGGATCTAACAATCTAAAGGCAGGCAGACAAGTAGAAAGAAGTTGGAGAAATGACACTTTAGAAGCATATAGTTGATTTATATATATAACAGGGACTTAAATGCAGAGAGAATAGGGACTTTGTGGACTATAGTCAGATACACCGGACATAGAGAGGTATATGAAGAAGCACAACTGCTTGTCTGAGAAGCTGACAAAGAGATGAGTGGTGGAACTGAGACCAGCCTAGGGATGGAGAACAAAGGGAAGCACAAACACAATGGCAACAGAAAAATGAAGTGTATGAACGTTTAAAAAAATAATTTAATGGCAGTATCTAAAGGGAATTTAAAGGAAACACAGCAGTTTTAGCATTCTATAGTAATGAAGTATGTTATTTGTTGTCGATTATCTGATTTTCAGAGTTGCTGAGTAACCCAACAATAAGGCAGTGGCAGCTGCAGTGCTTAGCATGTTTGAAAAATCAGGCCAGCTCCTACCCACAGGCTCTCTTATTGGTGTCTCTGATTACTGTTCAAGAACTCTTTAGCCACAAATATCTTTCTAGGCATAATGATGTTTCTTGAAGCAAACTGATGTCTCTGGAGTTCCTTTCTTCCTTCCTGTCCATTCTTCCCCATTGGGATTACTATAGTTTGAGGCCTCCCTTAATTCTTCAGACTGTCCGGATGACAGCATCGTCTATCTATATGCACTTCACCATTGATTCCACTTATGCCCAAGGGGTTTTCCTCTGTTCATAACTTGCTATTTGTTCTACTTTCTGTGATGATGGTTTCTTCCCAGCTGTCTTGCCTTCTCTCAAGTACAGCTGTTTTCCTGTCAGATCTGCCTGTCAATTTTTGTCTTGTTTTTTAACTTTGATACAGATCAGTGGCCAACCAACTTCAAGGTACTTCTCATTTTAAAAACTCCTGGAAGTTATTGTTTGACCTGCAATATATCCCAGTTTTACAGCCTTACAGCCCAAGAAGCCTTTAGTCATGCAATTTCTTTTCACTTCAGCAGACTGCTACTAAATAACAAGAGGCAATCAGTTGCCAACTTTGTCAAGCTGACACTAAATTTAAAAAATGAAAAATTGTTTTAAAATAAACATAACCTAGTATCTAAAATCTGGTAGTGTTCAATGGAGTTTTAATAACAATTTTAAGTTTTGTTCTAACACACTACTAATAATATTGGAAAGTTTCCTAAGTCCTCTCTGTTTGTCTTTCTCCCTATAATATAATTGTCGTAAGTCCTTGACATGAAATGATCTGACTATACTGAGTTCACTAAGATGATTAAAACATACACAGTCATCATTAACTGAATTATAGTGAGAACTGAGCAATGAATCACAAAAGATAATGTTCTCTGCCACATTTGATGACATGCACAGGACTCAGTCTTCAACTCATGGGAAAAGCCAATGAACTATATTTCAGATGTCTAGACATACTCCTTTGGAGAGAACCCAACTATTGCTTTTCATAGTTGCTTCCAGCCCAAGTAATAAATGTGTTCATCAATATCTGTTTTTAAAAGATGTATTTTGCATGTTAGCATTATGACTGGAAACAGTTTTTGCTGCTACTATCTTATTATTCCCTTCACCTCCCTCTATTTTTTTTAATTTCTACCTCAAGGATTTAAGAAAGCACTTTTTCTTTCAGGCTTAAATATGACAGGCAAATCCTCAGTTCAGATGTTCATTTTTATTTCTAAACTACACACCTAAAATGTGACTGGAATTTTGACCCATGTCAAAAGATCCTTTCACTTACTCTTTTATACATACAAAATTCAACATTTTTTTTATTTCAGCTCACTTTGAAATAGGTGATTGCCCACTCTGGGTTTGTAATAAAATTGAGCACAACTAGTGTTTGGTTATTTTGCATCTCAACTTGTATTTCTACCATTCCTTACTCTGGCTATTCCCAACCATTCACATGACTTACCTGCCACCTGACTGCCAATTGAAGAAAAGCTGTTCTTGGTACATGAAAACTGTCGGGAGAGTAAATTCTGCTTCAGCCAAAAAAAAAGAAAGAAATTGTATGATTTGCCATCACTTAAGTATCATCTATAGTTTTGCTTAGGACACCTGTTTTCCAGCAAGGTACATGTATAAAATACACCTTCCTAGCAGGAGATCCACATGCCTATGGATCATGATGGTAGGTCGTCTTTTTTCTCACCCAGAGAATATAGATCAAATTCTGCTTTCTGAAGAAGAAAAAATGTCCTGGTGAATTGTTAAAAGGCTTTGTAGCTTTCACTCGATATTGCTAAATCATAAAAGTAGGGGACCTTTCTTGCCATGGCAGGGGGTCAGACTCGATGATCTGCTCAGGTCCCTTCTCACCCTAGAAACTATGAAACTATAAATGGGCATGGTGAAGGAATCACTATTTTTCACCTTCTTGTTTGTATTCCTTGAGGGGTTTTTATTCTTTTTTTCTTGGTTTAAACTTTTCATATTTCCTTTACATTAAATGCTGTTTATAATATCCTGTTCCTTCCCTCACCCATAATCTGAGCCTTCCAGTTTCCTGAGCTCCTGGTGATCTTTTCACCCCCCTCACTCTTCTCTTCCCCTTCTCCCAAGTGAGAAATTTGGTGTTATGCCAGTTTGCTGACCCAAGCAGGCTGTTCATTGTCTATATTTATGCCCCTGACAGTCCCCTTTAACAATAGTGCTTTACTATTGATTTAAAAATGTACAAGAAGGAAAATTAGATAGTTGTTTATGCAGCAATGGAATAAGCTTGTGGACCATTTTTCTCTCGTGCCTAAGCCTCTTCCGTGCAGCTACCAAGAGTGGTATGACAGAACAGAACTCTTCAGTCCACTGCTGTGTGCCTTTGCTCCACTTCCACTTCATTTATAGCCTCTCACACCCATGGTTTTAAGAGGGAAATGACAGATACTAGACTAAAGGAAAACAATGGAAGATGCCATAAGAAAAGAAGTAGGTGGGACAGACACATATTTCAAAGAAATGTTGCATGTGTTTTTCACTAACTACTTATTGTTTAATCCATACTTTTACCTAGACAGGAACGTACAGTTTATTCCCCCAAAATACAGCAGGTAGCTATCATGTAGAAGTTCATCAGGTCACTCTAGTTTTAAAGCTAGGGAGAGCCCTTTGGATCTAGCCTTTTCCTAGAGCCGTATATAAACAGCTAATAGTTTCAATAGTTTCTGTATTTCACTGATCGAAATACCACTCACCTGACTTTGTATGAGTCATACCAATGTTCTAGGCTCCTTTCAGTCTATTATTTAAAAGGATTTCAAGTTACAAATCATCCTGGTCAAAAAGAGTCCTGTTTGTGATACTAAACAAATGTATTTAGACAATAAAGACACAATAATGCTTTATGGAGGGATCAACTAGAATTCTATAAGTCATATACAGACTCCTGGGAATAGCTGAAGGGAGAGGATACGTCTTTCTATCCACATACCCTATTCCTTACATAATAGGTTATCCATGGCAATAAGGAATACAAGTTGTTGGTGGGGGGAAACTGAATATACACTTCTGAGAGACAGATGCCCTGGAGCTAAACACAAAGGAACTCCCATAGGAGTAAAAGAATGGGATTAAGAAACTTGATTGTTTTACATTGACCTCTTGCATGTTTTTCTTGTTGAGAAGTAGGGAAAAAAAGCTGTTTGTTGTGCTTAAAGAATGTGTAAGCTCTACCTGTGCTAAAACCAAGTATGAAGAATGAATGACTTGGTGATGGGATATGCAAGGAATGAGTGTTGCATGGGCATAGGCGACGTGTACGTGGGGCATGGGGGACACGTGCCCCCTCTGAAAGCACTGATGACCACTCTGAGAGTAAGCACTTTCCCTGGTGGGGCACGGAGACTGCTTGTGCACCCCCTGAAATTGGCACTGCTGGCAGGACGTCGGCAGCAGAAGCAGCGATTGGCCACTGAAGGACCTCCCCACCCCCCAGTCGCCAGCTGACTGCTAGGGACCCCCCTGATCATGCCCCACTGATGGCCCCCCTGACTCAGGAAGCACCAGTCCCCCATGTGTATGGGTGTGTGTGTATGTGTCTGTGGATGTGGATGTGGATGTGGATGTGTCTGTGGGTGAGTGATGGCTTGAGAAACATGACTGAATTTGTTTGCCTAGTTTAGGGTCAGGACGGATTTGTTCCCCTAGGTAAGCCTGCTAAGGACTGTTGGGAATTTTGCCTTCCTCTGTTGTCCTAGGTCATGGTTGGGGCATGTTCCAAGTACATTCAAATATTATAAAATCCTTAGTCTGCTTGTGTGTCTGTAATGCTTTATTCATACTCTGATTGATTGTCTGAAACAACCAATCAGAGTGCTCCAACAGCATTCCGGACAGGCCGTGTGCCACCATGATGGTGGGGATGGAGGTGACCCCCAGCGCTGCTCCCTAGAGGTGGTGGCGAGGGAGTGGGGAGGCAAGGCCCAGACCCGAAAGGGGGTGGGGAAGCGAGCCTGACCCCGAAGCTGTGGGAGGACCAGATGTGGGCCTCTGTTCCTGCCTCCTCCCCCGCCCCATCATTCTTGACAGGCAATTTGCTAGTATTAACCATATTACCTGTTGTTGCAATGGCAGGGTTTTGGTAAGGCCCTCATTCATGTTATACAGTGTTATTGGTATTCTGGGTCAAGCAAGCTATGCCAGTTTACACCAGCCAAAGTGCTAGTCCAGCATTCTGGCCCTGATGATGCACATACAGCTAAGATATTTTATGAGATTTTTGTTATATTTCAATGTTAGTAGTTATTTATGGTGCCCCAAAATGAGCTTGGTGTTTTATAAATGCATGTCCTACAATGTTTAGACTTCAATAACACAATATGGGATAAGAAAGAGCCTTATACAGAGGGGCCTGCTGTGTGAAATATGGGGAAAAGAAGGCTAAGATTATAAATTCAGTAGGGTTAGTTAAGCCCAAATCTTAATAGACTTGAGGAAAAATGGTTACAAATCACACCACACAAAGTAATGTATTGAAATAATGGTTCACTGCACACCAAGGGCCAGGTCATGCCCCATGTGAAGCTCTGTTTGCTCCGATTCAATATTAAAGCTGTAATAAGGGAGAAGCTGCTGATTCCTCTAGCAAGAGAAGGATTTGGTTTGGCCTATCTGGCTTTCTGCTGTTCTTTTAAGAATTCACTTAGCAGAGAAAATATATCAGGCATGTCAGTGGTGGGAGGGATGTGGTCAAACCACACGGTGTTTTGAGGCAGCCCATAATAGGAACGAGGGTGCACTGTTAGTAGTAGGATGTCACCTGTGGCCCTTATTGTGATAAAAATTAGTATGTGATTGTGTAATTAAAGACTATATCATAATGCATGTACATGAGGGCTAGGGACAGACATTCAAAAAGCCTGAGCCTGAATTGATTCAGTCTTTGCAGGTTAGTCTAACCTGCCTAGGTTAAATTGGTTTGCAAGTGGACAGACATTCCCTCTGGACTGAGGAAATGTGGCACATGCCTGCAGTGGCTTAAGCTAGAAACCAGGGGGTGCTAGAGCAGCCCTCCTTTCCCTTCCACAAGGCTGAGCTGAGGGGGGGGTGTGGCCAGGCCCTGGCAGGATGCTCTGATTAGGGAGGGGTGTAAATCCCCACCCTGCCTACACAGTCCCAGGGTTTTTCTCGCTCACTGCTCAAGTGGTGGGAGTGTTGCCAGCCCCCAGCCCCTAGCCCCTGGCTAGCACTCTGAGGCAAAGTGGGGGTGTGGAGTGCATGCCTCTCTTGATGATACCAACCTTTTCAGTCTCTCTTTCCCTGTTTCTTCATATCGTCTGCAAACAGGTGAGGGAGCCAGCAGGGAGGTGATAACACAGCTTTTTCCAAGGAAGGAATGGAGGGACATTACCAGCTGACCTGTTGATTAGCTACAAAAAGCCCTAAGCAGACACAGTTCTGTCTGCCTGTCCCAGTGAAACTGGGAACGCACGCACACAGACATCTCAGCGTTAGTTAGCATACCTCATGCCTAGGGTCCATGGGGCTGGGGTCCATGCTGTGTGAGATGGGAGTGGCGGATGCTTGCTTGCGCAGTAAGCAGCAAGGTGGGCTGGGGCCAGCATTCCCTCTAAGTTGTGCAGTGTGCCTGGCAGCGCGTCATGAGTGAGCATGTGTGGCACAGCCGTGTGTGCCACACAGTTTAGAGGGACCACTGGCTAGAGCAGGGGAAAGCAAGGCAGACCCTGCTGTGCCTGCACTCTCTGCCAGAGCATTGGCTGGGGAGAGGAGGAGTGCAGCCAGCCCTGTTCTCTGGAGCAGAGAGCACCACCCAGCCCAACCCAGCCCAGGGCTGCAAAGCATCTAGGATGCTGGGGGACTCTGGTTTAACTTAAACCAGCAAGGGGTCTGGGACAGACATTGCATAAACCAGCTTGACCCAAATCAGTTAAGCCTGATACTGCATTCAACCAGGTTTATCATAAACCAGTTTCAGCCATTTTGAAACTGATTTATGTGCACAGAACTTCTGTTCTGTTACAGATTTAAACCAGTTCCTGATCACTTAAACTAGTTTATGTTTAATGTCTGTCCCTAGCCCAGGGGACAAGTTAGGGGTGCATCTTAATTGTGGTATTTCCCAGGTTTTGAATCCATGAGTTTGCAAACAAGTCATTTTCTTTTCCATTTATATAGTTTTCTTTGCATGTATTTAATTACCTACGTTGTTAACAAAAAAAACCTTTGAAAACAAATTTCATAATGTAGCAACATCTCATTCCCCACATGTGTCATTAGCTGAGTTAGAATTTTTAGACTCAATACAAACTTCTGCTCCTTGAAATAAGAAAATAACTGATAGCAATATAGACTGGGATTCTATATGTGGACAAGCACCTAGCATACAATGAAACACAGTTTACTAGTGGGTTTTACAGATGCTTCCTGACAGCAAAGGGATGTTGGGTTGTATTCCAGGTTCTATGTCCTGGCCCCAATTACTCCAGCTTGCAGCTGCTCCAACACTGTCTCTTATCCCAGCTCTCACTGCTGTCCTTCTCTAGTCAAGTCCATGCTCTGCCTCATGAATTAGGAACTGGCTGTAAAGGGAAGATTGGAGAATAAATAACCTAAATTGAACACAGGATGAGCTGAAGTCTATGTTGCCACGTATACAATTGCAAGCAATGCTGCACTGGGCGCTTTTCAAAGTGCCTGGCACTGTGGTGTTTACATGTATAAAAATGCCTGAAGGTATTTAGACACCTAATTTTCTGAAATCAATGGCAGGAACTTGAATAGGAGTTAGGTGCCTAAATGATCCTGACCCTAGTGATTGAATGTACCTTATATGGCTGCAACTGGGGTTTCTAGATCAGAGGTTTCCAGTACTGGGCCCCGAAGAGTTGGCTGCCGGGTCATGGCATGAGGCCCCTGCTCAGACCCCCATCTGTCTGCCCGGGTGACCGGCTTCCCAGCAGCCATGTGAGGGGTTAAAGTTGGGTGGCTGGGCAGTCCTGGGAGGGAGACAGCCGGCTCTGTGTGCCCCATCCCGCTCCTGTGCCAGTCCACAGTATAGGAAAAGGTTGGGAACCAGGGAAACCATTGTTCTAGATCAATCGGTATGCTGCCAGACTTCTAGGAATGGGGTGTCAAACTCATCCAGACCTGTGGGCCACATGAATGGCATGAGGCCGGCCCACAGGCTGAATAAATGACATGGGCCTGGCCCACATGCTGCATCAGGCCCACAGACCAACACTGCATGCCAGATCCAGCATGTAGGGTAGCCCATCATATTCACCATGTGCAGGGCATGTCTCAGATTGACTGGAGCGGGCAGTGCTTGCAGCACACACCCTGGAGCAACTGAAGCAGGGACCACATGCAACGCACATCCTGGAGTGGCCCTGCTCGCTACATGTAGCACCTGTCTGTCCTAGCCCCATGCATCATGAGTAGTGAGGCCAGCCTAGCACACACTGCAAAAGGCATATGAGTACACTTCAAGACGCACAGGCAGACCTATAGGCAGCACCAGTTAATAGGGCTCTCCAGGCTGGACCTGGCCCACAGGCCATATCTTTGACACCCCTGCCTTAGGCAACTGCATACCACAACACACAGAGCACCATCTTGCAATAATTCCCCCTCACTTGTGATCTAGTGAATATCCCATTTCCACCAGATGAAAAGCCTGAGCATGGTACCATATTTGTGACACTGAGCCCTTGTCAAAATGAAAGAAGAATTGTTTTTAAATTAAGTTAGCTAACATCTTAAAAATCCTTTTTCTCCCTAGTCTACACAAAGTAAAGTATCTTCAAATTCAAAAGCTAAACAAAAAGTTTAGTTCTTTATGGATGTACTTATGTACCCACAGGCATGTTTGGGGGGAGTGGAGGTGACAGCAGAATGTGATGGAAGGATCAAAGTTTTAAGGGGTTTAATTCTGAGTAGATGGATCGTTTTGTCAATAGGAAATCACCATATTGCTTCTGTTTGGAGAAAAGAGGAAGTGGGAGTTATACATCTTCCAGCAATGCTAATGTCTGAGTGGACTTTCTATCAGGGAAATTAAAACCTCACATAGCTTCAGTCAAGAAATATCAATCGTTTCCTTATTTACTGCTGCTCACAGTCTGGCAGATGATGTGCTATGAAAGGTGGGTGCCACTTAAAATGCCTTGCTGAATAAATGATTATCATGCCTCCAGGCAGCATCAATGGATGAATGGATGTGTCAGTTAGGCAGACTGTGTCCCCAGCTAATGCTCTTAATTGACAAACACTTCATCAGAATTAAAAATGTTGGGCTTTTAAAACATCCTATTTAGGCCAAGGTGGATTTCACATTTTACAAGGTTAGTTTTTTCCTGATGAGCATTTGGTCGTCCTTTGCTCATTTTTATTGATTATGATTTGATGACTTTTTAAAGGAATAATAGGTGAATTCCAGATCACACTGAAGGCAATGGAAAAGCTTCTACTGTCTCAGTACACCCAACATTTCAATTCCATTTTGTTATTATTACTAAAAAGTAATGCTCCTCTTGCTTACCAGAACAAAGTTGGAGCCTTTAGGCTGATGAGTGGGCCTTGAATCTCATTCAGCAAAGATGAAACTCACATGCAAAATACAACAGTTGGAGAAGGGGAAACCCCACAAGGTGTAGTCTTATGGAGATCCCCCTCAGTTTCATAATAGGTAGGGTCAGAAGGGACCTGAGCAGATCATCAAGTCCGACTCCCTGCCATGGGCAGGAAAGAGTACTGGGATCAAATGACCCCAACAAGGTAATTATCTACCCTCCTTTTGAAGACCCCCAGGATAGGAGCGAGTGCCACTTCCCTTACAAGTTGGTTCCAGATCCTAGCCGCCCTGTGAAGTAGTGCCTCCTGATATCTAGCCTGAATCTACTCTCGGTCAACTTATGGCCGTTATTCCTCATTACTTCTGGTAGTGCTCGGGGGAACAGGGACTCTCCCATAGCCTGCTGGTCCCCCTTGGCCAGCTTGTAGATGGCCAGCAGATCCGCTCTCAGCCTTCTCTTGTGGAGGATGAACAGGTTCAGGTCCTGTAGCCTCTGCTCATAAGGCCTGCCTTGCTGCCCCCTGATCATGTGAGTGGCCCTCCTCTGGACCCTCTCCATGCTGTCCACATCCTTCCTGAAGTGCAGTGCCCAGAACTGGACACAGTACTCCAACTGTGGCCTGACCAATGTCGCATAGAGGAGAAGGATCACCTCCTTGGACCTGCTTGTGATGCATCTGTGGATGCATGACAAGGTGCGGTTGGCCTTCCTGACTGTGTCCCCACATTGGCAGCCCATGTTCATTTTGGAATCAATAATGACACCAAGATACTTTTCTGCCTCTGTGCTGACTAGAAGGGAATTTCCCAGCCTGTAGGTATGCTGCTGGTTCTTCCTCCCCAGGTGCATCACCTCGCACTTGTCAGTATTGACTCTCATCCTGTTCTCGTCCACCCACCCCTGTAACCTGTCTAGTTGCAGCTTGTCCCTCTCTTCCAGCATGCCCACTTCTCCCCACATTTTAGTGTCATCCACGAATTTGAACAAGGTGCTTGTCACCCCCTTGTCCAAGTCGCTGATGAAGATGTTGAACAGTGCGGGCCTGAGGACTGAGCCCTGGAGGACCCCACTGCCCAGATCCCTCCAGGCTGAAAAAGACCCATCCACCACCACTCTCTGGGTGGGGCCCTCCAGCCAATTTGCGACCCAGTCTGTGTAGGCATCGACGCCACAGTCGCCTAATTTCTTAATGAGAATGGGGTGAGAGACAGTGTCGAAGGTTTTCCTAAAGTCCAGAAAGACTACATCCACCATGACACCTGCGTCCAAGGATTTTGTGACCTGGTCGTAGAAGGCCACCAGGTTGGTCTGACAGGACCTGCCTTGAATGAACCCATGTTGGTTGCCCCTAAGCATGATCTCCTCTCCTGGTCCCTTGTAGATGTGCTCCTGGATAATTTTCTCAAAGAGCTTCCCCAGGACTGAGGTAAGACTAACAGGCCTGTAGTTTCCTGGGTCCTCCTTCCTCCCTTTTTTGAAAATGGGGACCACATTGGCCCTTTTCCAGTCCTCTGGCACCTCACCAGAGCACCATGAGTGCTCATAAAGCTGTGCCAGGAGTCCCACAATGACGTCTGTTAATTTCCTCAGCACTCTGGGGTGGAGGTCGTCAGGACCTGCTGACTTGAACACGTCTAGTCCCTCCAGAAGTTCTCTGACTAGGTCCTCACTGACCCTGGGCCCGGTAGCACCTCCCCTGGGTCCATCAGGGATCCTGGTGGGGGGGATGCCCTGGTCCCTGATCAAGAAGATGGAGGCAAAGAAATTGTTAAAGAGGTTAGCTTTGTCATCCAGTGTGACCACCAGATTTACTAGCATATCCTGCAGAGGCCCTGTGTTACCCAATACCTTCTTTTTATCCCCTACATATTTAAAAAAGGACTTCTTATTGTCCTCAATCCCTCCTTAGCCCATCCTACAAGATATACTCACTTAAAGCAAATGCCTAAGGGTTATAACTGTTGTTAAAGAAGATAGCTCATCAGACTCCTTAATTTTTAATTAAAAAGGATTTTTTGTAAATTAATTTATGTAAAATAACGGATAAATTGTCCTCAGATATTTACCCCAGGCTTCTGTAAGGAATACTGAAGAGAGAAAAGGCTGGGCAGAGTAGCACCCCAGGGACTAATCTGTTCAAAAATTCATAAACTTTCATAGGTGTCACAGGGGCACTTGGGTGCCCCGTGCCTAAGTAAGGATTAGAGCAGATGCCAATCACCAGGGCAGCTCAGCTGCGGGTTGCTAGAGCAACCAGAGGGGTCATGTGACCGGAAGGGGGCAGGGCCGGGCCCTTATAAACAGCTAGGCCGGAGCCTGGCTGGCAGTTCCCTTCTGGCAGCCTGCGTGTAAGAGCTCTGCAGGAGAGCTAGACTGAGCAGTGCCGCTTGGCACATAGAGGGCTGCATTATGGTGCAGTCAGAGAGAAGCCTGACTAGAAGGCTTTGGCCCGAGAGCCAGGACAGCCGGGACTTGATGTAGAAGCTGGTAGGCTGATTGTGTTGTTATAGTCGGTGGGCTTATGATTTGGGTTGCAGCCGGCTGGCTTATGATTCAGTTGTGTGTATCATCCGGAGGACCGGGTGAGGCTGTAGGGGTGTGAGGAGGCCACACAGGAGCTCCCCAGTAGTCCGGGGGTTTCCTGGGTGCCCTGTGTGGGCACGAAGCAGTGCCAGGAAGGCGCGGCAACTGGACACCAGCGTGGTGCGGTGTGTGGGGTTGAGACCCCAGCCCAAGAGGGCAGTATTTGGCCCAGTGAGGGCCTAGGGACCCTGAGAAGGGTCAGGGGCCAGGCATGGTTGTATGCCACCTGAGCCCCAGCACTGGGAAGCCCGAGGCAGGGCTGGCGCGTAGGCTCGGGGTGAGCCAAGAGGCTCAGAGGGAGCCAAGGGTGCGCGCAGCGTGGAGCAGGCCCCAGCGAGGGCAAGTGCCCAAGAGGTGCGTGGCATAGGGACCCTGAGAAGGGTCAGGGGCCAGGCACGGCTGCATGCCACCTGAGCCCCAGTGCTGGGAAGCCCGAGACAGGGCTGGCACAGAGGCTTGGCGGGAGCCAAGGGCGCGAGCCGGCGGAAGCAGGCTCCAAGAGAGCCGCGGGCACGAGAGTGCGGGACCGGCTTAGAGAGAGCCACTGGTGTGAGGGGCGCAGGTAAAGGCCCTAGTGAGAGGCAAGAGGGGCAAGAGCATGGGAAGCACGTGGCCTAGGCCCCTGGGGGGGGGG